CGCGACCGCGTTGCACAGTGCTAGTACATGTAAATGTATGCATTGCATGGTGCACCATGCATGGTAGATCTACACGTCAGTGCAGGAAGTGTAGATGTGCATGGTGCATGCACGGCGCTTGACAGGTCTAAGGACCCCAGGCACATGACTCATGAGTCGTGCTAGAGTAGCATACCTGTACGTGTGTGCACTGTGATGCACTTATCACAATGATGTATCACAAGTGGATAGGGTAACGTGACCCACTGAACCTGGATAAGAAGACCACCTGGCAACGGCGACCAATTTTTCTCGTCCCTTGAGTGGTCGCCTTAGACAGGTTTCACTGTATGAAAGTTTACATACAAAATACCATGAAATCATTGCACTACTCCCCTGCTTAAATAAACTGGGTGCAAGTGTTAGAACTGACTTGCAATATGGCAATCTTTTACTTACATGGATCCTTGACATCTTCATCAGGATGATCATTCTTACGAGCTTGCCAAATTCTCTCCAGCACTCCACCAACAACACCATTGGATGGGAAAGATGAAGACTGGATGGCTTGAATCAAGTTCTGGACACCTGATGGTCCTCTCTTGTAGGTAATCAAGAAGCCAACGTAGGCAGCTAACCTGTCCTCTCCTGAACTATTAACAATAGCGTATTCGTCCTTCAAACCCAACACATGTCTCTTCAGCATGGGATCTCTGCTGATACGTGGATGATGTTCATCAATTGCCATGATAGCATTCTTGAGTGATTCATGTGCAATCTGGCATGGAGCTATGTCATGCCATGCTGGCAGTACAACATCATCCCAGAAGTCAAACGGCATCGTTCTAAACACAAAGTTATAGAAAACGCACAAAGAAAAACACAAAAAACCCAGAATATGATTGTATATTCTGATTATAGAATAATGGATTCAAAGAGAATTCAAGTATGGATGACAATACAACGGAAGACTGGCTGCACAGTGTAACACAATACAGGTATATGACTGTATTCACCTCCCATATGTTACCCCCCTCCCCCCCCCCCCCCACACACACACATGGCATAGACCGATATGCGTGGTGCAAAAACTATCATGCATGCATCCATACCACCACCACTTACACTGTCACTGCGTGTTCTCCATAGCCACATACCGGTATGTTAAACTAACATAATTCTGTTCATTTTTGGTTAACTGAACACACTTCACCTACAACACAGTCCTCTGTTCTACACCACTACTGTTCATATGTACACACAATCATTTCACTACATCATGGGTAAAATATATTCATGGTTCAAGTGATACTGAGTTAGACTGAGTTTTGCAAATCTGCAGGAACTCCACCACCCTCAATGGATCAAGGGTGCAGATGCAGATTTTAAAGTGATGGGAGGTGAGTTGATCACTGATCAGACCCACAACCAAAGAGGTCAAAATCAGAAAATCCCATTCACTGCATTCATGGTGAACTCCATTGTATGTAAACGCTGTGTGAATGACAAGAGGCAGGGGTGTTGGAATGTATTTTAGAATGGTCACTGTCAGCCATCTGAAGTACAATTTACTCGTGATGTTGGGGTGGTTCCTATGAAAATTTCGAAATTTAGACCTCAGATCAGTGTGTTTTATTGATTCACAGGGTAGCCGGGATGAAGAGTGATACGGTCAAAACCATAGTGACCGTAGCGTGTCCGATGCCCTGCAAGAGGTTCATGTGTAAGGTTTCGTGAAATATTAAAATAGAGACGGATATACAAATACTTCAGTACAGGGGTACAGGGGAAGTATGCATCAGTTTGAGGACAGTGTTGAGGGTCAATGTTCTGGGCATATGAAGTCGAATACTCTTCTCAAGCATGACGTGAACAGAACTGCGATGACCCATGTGAAGCGCAATCAATATAATTATTCTTTTGCCTTTGCTATTTCCCTATGATCTCTGCACTACTGTTGCAGTACGTTCCATAGAGTGAATTTGACTTGCAATACAACTACATGTAGGTATCGCTAACACGGGTTTTCTTCACGTCTTGAAAATCTTAATCAATTCTCCACATAGGATAACTCCAACCCATCTTGCCAGCCTGGCAATAACTGACTGTACCACTTGAAGGTTTCAAGGTCTACCCCTCTTAGTCATGTGACATGTTTACAGAGTGTATACATGCACTGTACCTTACCGTAAATACTGGATAGCTGCAGATACAGTGCAGCTTCGGTTTTCCAGCACAAGTCGCACTTGGGGCTTATCATCAACACATCACGCTGACTCGATCGAGAGAAAACAACGCAACGATGTTACCGTTGTCGTTTAGACCTCGTTGTCACCGACGGACACACGAACCGACAATGATTTTTTCGATGATACTGAACAGGTCTACTTTATCTGGTTCTGGGACAAGGGTATGCTGCCCAGGAGACTACAGTGTACAAAACTGCTATCAAACACAATGGTCCTGTACCTTTTCTTCGCAGATGAACGTACCGGTAACAACTGCGTCTTCACCAAACACACAAACACACATACCGACGCAGGTGCAGTGCAGATGCTACGGGAACAGCTACATGATGTATAATGATTTCCGTAGTGGCCGGCTTGGGTCGTTGGTATGGTGGCTGTCCGCGTCCCGGTGGATCGATCCGAAGGTCGTTACGGACAGAGCCGGTTTGGCGCCTTCATTTTGGCCTGGGGGGGGGGGGGGGTGCATTCATTGCATAGGCCGCGTGAGACTGAGATTCGCAGTCTCTGCATTCTCAAGTAACAATGGTAACTAGGCGGGGTAAGGACAATCGTTGCTATGGTGAATCATGTATTGTGAAAATGACACGAAAAAGGAACCAACACTGCAACAGTGAACACTTGCTTGGGATACAGCATCGGCTACACCCAAATGATTTTCTAATTAATTTTCCCTAACCTCCAAGGCAACCACTGAAACATACAGTATGATTCTCTTCTCCAACCCCAACAACGGTCTCTTCACTGCGAAAAAAAACATTCCATCAACTTTTCGGGACTGACCCTTCATTAGGCTGAAAACACACAAAAACCTGGAACCCACAGTCTCTACACAAGTCATACATACTTGGAGACAGGCGGTATGCTGTACATACTCGCTAACGCCTCCCAAAACTAAATCTCTTAGGAAACCAAAAGAGGTGAGTACTGTCGGTCGCCCAAGAACGGCTAGAATTTCACCACGCACAGCATACCAATGTATACACGGTGACTCAAATGTGCATTGAGTACACTCTACACGTACATGAAAATAAGAGCAGTTTTCATGTAGGTTACTAGGCAGACCCAGCGACCAACAGTACATGTACAAGTAGAATGTACACTGTACTAACTCCACTCAATACCCGCCATTGTCCAACTAACAACTAGTATACAATCATATTGAGCAAGTACAGTCAGCCATATTCCCAATGCACTAATGAGTTATTCCCGGTCTGACATTGTGATAGTTCAGTTTTGTGATAACCGTGTGATGCCGTCAAGCATAGAGATCAAGCAATACTGTACAACTCGTACAAGCCCACATACAGTATACGTCAGTACAAACTTCTTGCAATCCGAGTAACTCTCCATAATCTCAGGCAATGCAACTTTCAGACGTGAATGTGCCGCTGAGTACGTTTTTCGGCTAGTCAGACTACAAGCGAAGAAAGAACATAGGCTAATCTCAAGAGAGTAAAAACTATAAGCTCTGCTAGTGAGGAAGGTGAATCAAGGATATCCGATAGTATTGAAATCATGAAACATACAGTACGCTTGTAAATTCGAACGTTATGCAGAGAAATCGCACAAAAGGTTGTAAAATCAATAAACTCGTAGAATTATAATATATTAAGCCACCAACAGTTAGGCTCTTTAGCGCAGCCGAGCAGCTCCAAACGTATCCCAAAAGGGATCACACTTTCGTGCAACAAAGCAAAGCATACACACTATAGATAGCAAATACAAAGTAGCAGTGCAGTAGAGTGTAGATTTCATTACACTCTAACTTGCATTTTCAACCATTTCACTGAGCAATTAATTCTAGCAATAAAACAGCATAAAGGAAAGTGTAATTCAATCATATCTACATCAGTTAGAATGCCAGACAAAATCTCAAAACAGAGTAAAAATTACACAACTGGAAAAGGTCTTGGAATACCTGAACACACTTGATCAGAAACATTACGATCGTTCAGTAGCGTCTGCACACACCACTCACTGGTACAGCTCGTTGTGGGTACATAGCAGGTCATGGCGGGTCCACCAGCAGAGTAACCTTCACAGACCCTGCGGGGACAAAAGCACACACACACAAAGAGACATTCATCAATGCACTGAGTCCTGGAACAACACACGTACTAAGCCTCATGTTGACGGCTTCAAACAACATTGTACATCACGAACTTCGTTCTAACATTCTCTGAGACTCTCCGTACATTTGCATACTGGACTATCACATTGCCCAACAATGCTACATCTCTGCCAAACTGGACAGAGAGCAGAGCATAAGATGTGTGTGTGCATGTGTGTGTGTGGGGGGGGGGGGGGGAGAGACTATGAGAACATAATGGATGACAAGAGCCTATTCAACGTGTCCACAAATCATACATGTACTTAGCTGCTTGCTCTGTGCACCCCCTTCCCCCCCCCCCCCCTCCCAACACACACACACATACACACACATACCCATGAGTCTGGCCTCATTGGTGCACAAGTGTGCTTCCTTGAAATTGCTTTCCCAATTCAAGTAAGGGATTGGACCAAACAAACAACAATGAAGCCAGGAAAATCCTCTGACAAGTACAGCTGGTTATCAAAAAAGGAAGTACAGATGGAAATAGTGTCATACCACTGAACAACAGTATGCTTACAGAGGATATCTCCAGTAGCTTCAACTGGAGGAGATCAGCCAGCTCCTGGTGGGCCAGCTTCTCACTCTCTTTCAGAGCAGACACAAACTGACGGAATGCCTGTTTGCCACAGCCCGGCAGTGCTTCCAAGAAGACAGACGCCTGAGACACAACATTCCAATAAAAAAAGAGCCAGTCACCACAGTACACAACAACGACATCATTCATTAGTTACAGGGAAAGGCGCAAACGGAAAAAGTCTGAAATATTATGATTATCACCACCAAGACTCAAACCAGGGACCATCGCTTATGGCCAGCGATGCTCCACCACTAAGTTATGCTGTGGTCGTCATCCAAGCAGTGACCGTTCAACATTTTCTTCAGACTTTCAAAACTCTCGCTTCTTGTGCATCCACACAGGCTGGTGAGACGCAGCTCTCACTGTAACCCACACACTCAGTTCACGTACAAACTAGCACGCGGGGAGCCCCAGCACAGTATTCATTTGTTTGAGGGCAAGGTGCAAAACACCAACATGGATTTCTAATGTAGTACTGTACATGACAGTCATAATTGCAATTCAGAGTTATTCAGAGACACAGGCAGCTGACAGTTACGGACACGGTCTTCCCCCCACGTAAGCCAGGAATGTTTGAGTATACGTATAAAATACAAATGCTTGCTTTAGTCTGCCATTGGGCATTGACCACTTTTTATTGCACACATACAAAGTGTGACAGCTTAACATGCAAAATGTAAACATACATTCCCAACAGCCATCGTAATTCCACTATATCGTATAAAATGGGGCATTACGTTGACATTTAGTGGTGCTACTCTTTCTGATTTGCAATGTCCCTGGAATGGATATGCCCACCCAAATGTATCTTCTGTATAGTTGTAAATGAAACAGCAATGTGACACTCGCTGTGACTATGTTTAAATATAGTTGTAAATGAAACAGCAATGTGACACTCGCTG